TGTGGAAAAACTGCAACTCGGATCTGTTATTCTCTGCTTTAAACACCTCAATGGTGCCTCATTGCCTACAGGTAAGTCCAAACTGCTCGGCGCAGCATATATGGCCTTATTGAGCATGTTGTTACCTCCTGAAAGCCACCTCCTCCCCACTGAGCAGTGGGCTGGGTGGGATCACCCATCACCAATCCAGGCAGGCTGCTTCCTCTTCCTGAGTGCTGAGTGCAGGGATGGAAGGTTCCATCCCACACACAGTATGTTCCCACCACCTGTATGGGCCCCTGCTGGGTGTGCACATGTGAGGCCTCCTGCTGCCGCTGGCATTTTGCATGCACAGAGCAGGCCAGGCCCAAGACAAGCCAGCACAGAGAAGCACAGCAGAGCTACGGAAAGAACAGAGAAACAGCTGAAATGCACAGGGAGCTCCTGTCTCACCTTCCAAATCCCGTACCCTGTCAGTTTTGAGCCAACAAAGTCTCTTTATGGTTTATGCCACTTTGGGCTGGGATTTCTGAACTTGTATCCATAAGCAAGCCAATTGGGACACACTCCTGCCCAACTGCAAGGCCAGCCCCTGCCACTCTGGGGCCAAAGGAACTTCTGTTGCTGCAGGTGCTTCCTAGGCCCCACCTCTGCCACCTCATCCCAACCCTTCCCTGGATCATCCCTACCTACCTTTAGAAAAAGCTCCAAAAGCATTCCCTGACCTCTTTCTGCCAGGTAGGACTGTCTACTCTTTTACCTTTAAGCCTAATATAGCCTGTATGTTCCCCAACTATATTTCTTATCACATTTTATTACAATTACTTGCTTCGGTGTCTGTCTGTCCTACCAGCTCTTTGAGGAAATAAAATGTCCTTAGCACAGTACCTGGCACACAGAAAGGACTCACTGGGAAAAACCCCACACATGGCATGGCAGGAGGACTGTAATGTACAAATTCAGGTAACTCTCAGTGTAGGAATTATACACCAAAGACACCGATATATACATGTTATACCATTCTAATTAACTAGATCCCCAGATTAAAAGGTGTCATAGAAAACAGAAAATTCATAGCGATATTATTTGTATGCATATTATAAGCACATCAGTTAAGGATAATTTGCAAGTTATATTTAAAAAATTCGAACATCTTTTTTATTAAAAAAGAGGGCCATAGCCTGGGCAACAAATGATACTCAATATCTACAAAAAAATTTAAAAAACTAGCTGGGTGTGGTGGCACATGCCTGTAGTTCCAGCTACTTGGGAGGTTAAGGTGGGAGGATCACTTGAGCCCAGGAATTTGAGGTTACAATGAGCTATGATTGCTCCACTGCCCTCCACTCCAACCTGGGTGACAGAGTAAGACCCTGTCTCAAAAAAAAAAAAAAAAAAAAAAAAAAGACATACAAGAAGATAATGTTTGTATTAGTTATACTTACAACAAAAACCTCTCTGATGAGTGTCTTACTGTGTCTTACTTAACTGTGTTTTAAAACTTAAGGTCAACAAGGCAAGGTGCTCTTCTTTTCTCTTCTGTTGGGGCACAGAAGTGATGTCCAGAGGGTACCCAAGGTGAGTAAATGGCAGTTGGACAGCAGTGAACACACACAACAAGGGATCAGTAGGAAAAAGGCCAGGCTATCTCCTCTTCGGAAAGGGAAGACCCCCCGCGTGCCCACGCTACTTCCCTCAGAGGAGAAAAGGCCATCACAAGGTAATCGCCAGACACAGCCCTTTTTCTTCCTCTTTTAGCTTCTATCTCTGACTGGAATGGTGAGAAAAACCGAAAGGGCAGAGGGAATAGGGAGAAGCCTAACACCTGCAGACAGCAATGCTCGAAGGGGCTGGGTCTCCACACAAGACTGTCAAATGCTGTAAGAGTGTCAGCCAGGCAGGGGAAAGAGAAGCAAAAACCATCGCTCTGGGAAGGTTTCTGACACTAAGAAAAGGAGTCAAGAAGAGAAACAAGTGCCTCCTGAAGGGGCAGGGCAGGGGCCCTAATGACAGTGAGTTAAGATATTACATTCTTTAAATTTTGCTGTAAATATACATCTTGACAATGATGATTGTTAAGGACCTACTATCTAGCTATTTTAATAAAATGCTCTGTAAATATTTTTGAAAAAGAAAAATATAGAAATGTACAACATATAGGCATAACAAACTCATCTTATCCACTACCCAATAAACAAGAATTTAACATTGTCATACTTGCATTTGGTTATTACAGTCTTTAGAAATACATAATTGACTTGAACAACAAGTTTTCCAGGTAGTCATATCTTCAAAAAGTCTTGATGTTTGAAGCACCAAGATCAAAACAAAGGGACAACTACTAACTCACCTTGCAGCCACCTTACGCTAAGCGCATGCTGTTTATGTCTAGATTAAAAGCTCTCTGGGGACAGGCACACACGTAGGCACTACGTTAAGTGCTGAGTGAATGAATGACTGGACTTTCAGGCCCAAATTTCTCACAGTGATTACAAAGAAGATGTACCCCTGGGCAAGCCACAGCCTCTCTGGGCTCATGTCCATGTCCGTGCCAAGACAACAGCTTGACTTACCAAGCTCGTAGGGCCCTTCCAGCTCTGAAACATGGTATCCAATGGAATAACGCAAAGGACAAAAGTCTGGCAAAGCCATTCCACCACACTGATATCCTAGATGGAATATTTACTAAAATATTCATTGTACATAATCAGCTCTTGTGTTTATATTTCCTTCTTTGGTAAATCCTCTATTGATAGTAGCAATTTCCATTCAAGTTCTGAATAGACTAGAATCTCCTCTCCCAGACCATGTGAGTTTATGGGGGACAAAGACTTAACCCCTAAATCCACACGCAGATATTAACTTGCATTACCCAGTTGTTTCTTACATTCCTGCCCTTTAGGAGATTAAAATGTCCTTTTTATGGCAACCACATCATCTACTTCTTTTGACTTATCTTTCACTTATCTTTTAAAGTTAACTGATGAAAGAACGTGCAGATGAAAAAGGGTTAGTAAAAAGGTCATCCTTAAGATCCCTCAATGGACATTAAAATTAGTAGGCCAAAGCTTGAAGGCAAACAGGGCATTTACATATTCTCAAAGTATCTCCTCAAGATATATATTAACAACATAGAGAAAAAATAGTAACTTTCCAGTGGTGAAGGCTGGCAAACACTGCCTTAGCCAAGCGACCGAGGCTCGCATAGACAGTAACTGGGCATATCAACATCATGCACATCCTGATATGATGCTCTGATAAGGCGCAATGTCGCTTCTGTGGTTTTCTTGCTCCAAAATGAATCACCTCATCCTAATGATGAGAAAACACCAGACAAACCCAAATAGGGAAATTCTGCAAAATAACTGGCCAGTGCTCTTTACATGTTGAGGCCACGAAAGACAAGGAAAGACTGAGGAGCTGTCACAGATTGCAGGAGGCTAAGGGCGGGTGTGACAATAAACACAGAGGATCCTGGCATACAAGGACAGGAGATGGAAAATGTTAAATTTCAATAGGGTCTATATAGTTTTGTACCAATGTCAGCTTTCTGACTTTGATATTGTACTACAGTTGTGTAAGATGTTAACACTGGGGAAATTCAGTAAAGAGTATATGGAAACTGAACTGAAAGGATTATTAGTAAACTACATGCAGGACCTCTCAGATGAAATGAGAAAAATAAAAATAACTCAGTAGAAAAAATGGGCAAAAGACATGAATAGGCATTTGCTGGAAGAGAAAACACTTATAGTCAATAAATATACTCAGGGCAATTTCAGTTAAACCATAATGAGCTATAATTAAAATTTTAAAAGCCCAATAACACTAAATATTGGCATGGATGCAGAACAACAGGAATGCTTTTCCACTGCTGGTAGAAGCACAATTGGTGCAACTATTTCAGAAAATAATTTGGCATGGCCTTGTCTATTTGAAGATATATATGCCCTATGCCCCAGTAATTCTATTCCAAGGTATTCATCTTAGAGAAACCCTTGAACATGTGTATCTGGAGACAACCAAGAAAGATCACAGCAGTATCTGTGTAACAGCAAAATATGAAAACAATTCAAAAGTGAACTGATGACAGAAGGGTTGAATCCTAGTGTCTTTGTGCAATGGAGTATCCGACAGCAGAAAGAACCATAGCTACATGTATCATGTGAATAAATTTCAACATGTTGAGTGAAAAATGTAAGTCACAGAAGAGTATATACACTAAGAAACCATATGTATGAAGTTTGAAAACCGGTAAAACTCAAGACTATATTGTTTAAAAATAAATACATACTATAATAAAAGCATAAAGAAAAGGACTAATGACTTAAAATTTAGGACTCTGGGTACTCAAGGGGCACAGGGATGTGAAAGTCAGTATATTTCTGGATATCCTGGGTGTACGTTAGTATTAGCTGTGCACATTTATTCTGGTTATAGGAGAAATCAGATACTTTTCTTTATATATAAAGCTGAAAGGTTGTCTGAAAAAAACAAAATGCAAACAGGTAAAATACCCACAATTTTCTGGTAATAGACCCATATCCTAAATGAGTCTAAATGACTAAAACGATGAGCCTTTCTGAAACTTTCAGGCCTTAAAGTGAAAGGACAATTCTGAAGGGAACTCCTGGGGACGGGGGTGGGGGTCGGGTCGGATTAGTTTCCAAGGCACTGATCTGAAAACATTCGTTATTTGCCTGTATCCACACATCTCAGGCTGGAAAGGTGTTTTAAGGGGACATTTATTTCCTACTAAGCACAAGATCTTCTAAAAAATTTCAGTTCCTTGACTTGCACAAATCTTTAATAAAACAAATCCTTCTTAATCCTTAACAAAAACATTTATCTAGCCTGAGTGAATTCTGCTCCCTCTTGAACCATTTAGGTAGCTTGAATATTAAGATTTATGGCAATTTACAGCTTGCCTGTACTGTCATAGTTTTTAAGGAAATTCTACTAAAGGTCAAAAACAGTCCTGTAAAAACGCACAATCAGGCCGAGAAGGAGGGCCCACTCACCAGCTGAAACTCGCTCCTCCGGCTGAAAGCTTCCCTGATGCCAGAATCCCTCCAGAGTGCGCTCAGAGCAGGGACATACAGCTGAAAGGTGGCAGGCTCCACAGGCAGCCCCGCCTTGTTCTCAAAGGCCATCAAGAACATCCCATGCTTTTCATTCTCAGAATACTGCCAAGGAATGCCAAGCTTGTCTCGCGCATCGACAAGAACCCTTGAGCCCTAGGAAATAAAAGAAATAGAAGAGGATTTAATTGTGTTTCAAATACTACTAAATCATAATAGAGAACCACAATATGGGCACCAATTGTCACAAAACAGAAAACTCACAAGCTATCAAATTGTCTCTTGGTTTGCTTTGATGTGGCATGAAATGTCTTAGCCCCTAGGAACATAACCTTATCAACACAGATGTGCATTTGTACCACACAAACAGGTCTGCCTTTCACTGTCACTCATTTGAAAAGCTACTGGAAAGGAGAGAAGTGGCAGCAAATTCAGCAAGTCTCACTGAAAAATGAACCACATCAGCAAAAAAGACAATGTTTTAAAAACAACTACATACAATAACAACCACAGCAGTCCCCTGTTATCCACAGGATATGTTCCAAGACCCCAGTTTGAAACCATGGATAGTACTGAACCCAACATGCTACGTTTTTTCCTATATATTCATATCTAAATATATTTTTCCTATATATCTATATCTATGAAGTTTAATTTATAAGTAAGAGATTAACAAAGACAACATGGAACAATTATAATAATACATTGTAATAAAAGTTATGTAAATATGCTCTCTTTCTAAATACCTTATTATACTGTACTCACCTATTTTAGGACCTCGGTGGGTAACTAAAACTGTGGAAAGCACACCCGAGGATGGGGGAACTACATACTACTATTAGCACTCCTGGTGTTACTACTTTCCTCATCACTGAGATCTGGCAGCTCCTTGATACCAGAAGGATACAACTGCTTGTTCTAACTCAAAACGGGTGAGAAAACATACAAATCAGGCAGTCAGCAGTCATGAGACAGGAAAAGACTAGAATATAACACAAGCCAAGAAGACCGCCCACTCAAACAGAAGCCAGGGGATCATTTCTAGATTTAACACCACTATTGTTTGTGATGATGAGAAACTATTTTTCATTCTTTTGCTTATTTCCTCACTGTTAAAAATAAAGTTAGTATTTCTGCCCTTTTCTTACCTCACAGACAGGGTCAAGGGGATGGAGAAATAGTCCAAACTAAAATAGTATTAAGGGAAAGCGTCTAGCTCGGGAAAAATGCTCTGCCTCAGCAGAAGCTGCCTCACTGTGCAGTGAGCAGGTGTAGTTCACCACTCTTAGATTAATGCTTCAAAATTAGCAACACAGGATCCATGAAAGTTTCTGAGTTCTGAGGGTACATGTCAAATACTCTCTCATGATCGATACTAGGCATGTGTAGAGTAGCAGAGGGCCCTGAGAAGGCTGTCAAGTGCGTGTCTCTCTGTCTGGGGGACTCAGAATTGACTGAGAGCAACACCCTATCCTCCAGGACAGACAATACCAGGGCCAGCTTCCCACCTGGTATTTACCTTTTACTTCTTTTTAACACATTAACTGCCATGTGAGTTGTATTTAACTCATGCTAGTATTGAGCTCAGGGCCTTGTGAAGCATATGTAACTCATACGTCTCTTCACCTTGAGAGCTAGCCGTGTGAACTATTTTTCAAGTTGCATATAACTCACGTACAGAAAATAAAATATAACAAATTTTTCATTAACTTAGAAAGGATCATTTTGTTTTTGAACTTTTTTTCCTATTTTTGTAATAAAACACCATGGCCCCAAGGGGGGAAAAAATTTCTAGTGTGGTAGTCAATGTATTAAATAACAGTTTTATCATGATATAATTCACATAACATACAATTCACCCACTTAGTGCATATAACTCAATGCTTTTTAGTTAGCGCTTATCCTAAAAAGTTTTATGTTCAACACAGCAGAGGAGATGAATCAATCCTGCCTTTTTTATATCTCTGCTGCAGCAACAGTTTGGTGTCAGTAACTTCTGCCTTGAACCACTGAGTCAAATGTAAGGATGACCAAAAAGAGCAGTTACAAACTCTCCTCCAGACCTAGCTGATCAAGACTGTCTGGCTACAAATGTTCCTATGAATCCCCTCCCCGAGACCTTGTCTGTCTGCCACTTATGACCACGCCCAGTTCTACCAATCCACAAACATCTGTTCAATCCTTACTTAGGGCAAAACACTGAGCTAGGCACTGTGGAGAAAACAAATTGTTTAAGAAGCAGTGTCTGATCTCCAGAAATTCAGAATCTGGCTAGAGAGACAGATATATGGGTTAAAAAAAAGTTAACACCCACTCATAATAAAAACTCTCAGCAAACTAGGAATAGAGAATAGAACTTCAACTTAAAAAAGAACAGTAACAAAAATGTACAGCTAACCTCATAATTAATGATGAAAGACTGAACATTTTCCCTCTAAGACCAGTAACAAGACAATGGTGCCTACTTTTACCACTGCTATTCAACATGGTACTAAAAGTTCTAGCCAGTGTGATAAGGCAAGAAAAAGAAATAATGATAGGCAAGAAAAAGAAATAAAACATTGATAGAAAAAAAAAAAGTAAACCTATTTGCAGATGAAACAATGATCTATGTAGAAAATCCCAAGAAAACAAATGAATCTAGCAAGGTTGCAGTATATAAAATCAACACGTAAAAGTCCATTTAAAAAAAATTTTTGAAGGCTCGTCAAGTGAAGCAGTCAAAAAATTTTTTTAAGGTACTAGCAATGAACATGTGGAAACTGAAATTAAAAATGCAATACTATCAATGGTCACTCAAAAATAGGTATAACTCTAACAAAATATGTATAGGACTTATATGTTGAAAACTATAAAATGTTGATGAAAGAAATCAAAGCTCTAATACACAGAGATATACCACATTCATGGATTCAAAGATTCAACATAGTAACAATACCCCTAAATTGACATTTAACACAATTTCTATAAAATCACAGCAAGATCTTTTGTGGACAGAGACATGATCATTCCAAAATTTATATGGAAGAGAATTAGATTAGCTAAAGCAAGTCTGAAAAGGAAAAATTAAGTTGGAAGAATAACTCTCTCTGGTACTGGTGAAGTGAGAAACACAGATCAATTGAACATAATAGAGAAACCAGAGATAGCCCCACACAAATGCAGCCAACTAATTTGTGTAAAGGTGCAGAAGGAATTAAATAGAGGAAGAAGAGCCTTTTCAACAAATGGTGTTGGAGCAACTGGACATCCATGGGCAAAGAAGATAAAAAAGAACCTTGACCTAAACCTCACAATTTATAAAAAACTAACTCAAAATGTTAAACTATAACATAGAAGAATGTCATCAGGACCCAGGGCTTGGTAAATGTTCTTAGAAGTGACTCTAATTCATGGTTCATAAGAGAAAAATACCAATAAATTAGACTTTATGAAAACTAAGAACTGTTGCTCAGCAAAATACCTTCTTAAAAGGCTGAAAAGGCAAGCTATGGACTAGGAGAAAATATTTGCCAACTACATATCAGACAAAGGACTCATTTAGAATATACCAGGAACACTCAAAACTCAACAGTTGAAAAGCAAACAATACAGTTACAAAATGGGCAAAAATATGAAGGGATATTTCACCAGAGAAGAGACAGCAAATATAAGCAGGTGAAAATGTTCAAGATCACCTGGACATCAGGGAAAAGCAGATCAAGACCTTGATGAGTTATCATTATATACCCACTAAATCAGCTAAAATAAAAAATACTAGGCCGGGCGCGGTGGCTCACGCCTGTAATCCTAGCTCTCTGGGAGGCCGAGGCGGGCGGATTGCTCGAGGTCAGGAGTTCGAAACCAGCCTGAGCAAGAGTGAGACCCCGTCTCTACTATAAATAGAAAGAAATTAATTGGCCAAATAATATATATAGAAAAAATTAGCCGGGCATGGTGGCGCATGCCTGTAGTCCCAGCCACTTGGGAGGCTGAGGCAGAAGGATCGCTTGAGCCCAGGAGTTTGAGGTTGCTGAGGTTTTCCCGAAAGTCAAAAGGGAAAAAAAAAAAAAAAAAAAAAAAAAAAAAAAAAAAAAAAAAAAAAAAAAAAAAAAAAAAAAATACTGACAATACCAAGTGGTGGTAAGGATGCAGAGAAACTGGATCTCTTGTGCATTGCTGGTAGGAATGTAAAATGGTACTGCCACTCTAAAAATATTTGTCAGTTTCTTAAAAAACTAAATACACGCTTATCATACAACCCAGCAATCTCACTCTCAGGCATTTATCCCAGAGAAATGAAAACTGATGTCCGCACAAAAACCTGTAGAGTGATATTCATAACAATTTTATTCATTACAGCCAAAAACTGGCAAAAAATTGTGGTACAGCCATACCACGGAATGTTATTCAGCAATAAAAAGAAATGGATCAATGTCGCGCAACAACCTAGATGGACCTTAGGGACATGATGCTAACTGAAAAAAGCCAACCTCAAGCAGTCACATACTATGTGATTCCCTTTATATAACATTCTTGAAATGACAAAATTATAGAGATGGACAAGAGATTAGTGGTTGCCAGAAGTCAGAGCTAGCAAGAAAGGGGAGGGGTAACTAGAAAGGGGCGGCACAAGGAGATCTGTGTGGCCTTGATCGTGGTGGTGGTGGTTATACAAACCCACAGGTGATAAAAGGGCACAGACCCACATGCACGTCGTGCCAATGTCAATTTCCTGGTTTGATGGTGTACTGTAATTATGTAAGTCATAACTATTGGGGAAAACTGCGTGATACCGCTCTGTACTATCTTTGCAGCTTCCTGTGAACCTATAATTATTTCAAAATAAAAAGTTTTTGTAAAGTTAACTAGCAATCATGGCAATGTATGTTTCAACTATGTGGAGTGGAGACGGAAGGTTACCAGAGGCCAAAAAAAAGAGAGACTATTAGTAGGAAAAGGTGTGGCATAATAAAATCCTAACTGGAGATGGGTCCCGACTGGGCTTTTGAAGTGTGTAGCTTCATTTAAACATGTGACAACAGTGGATCAGAACCTATTTAGAAGGCAAATGTGATATAAATCATCCCTCTTCTCTTCTGTTTCCTGCCTCTGGGTCTTACTTTCTTTGACTACATCACACCAAACTCCTGCCTTCCTAAAGGGACAAAATCAAA